TCTCTTGGTCCCTTACAATTGTAAAGCAACTTTTCTTTTCCTTGTCACTAACTACAATCTTAACTTCTATGTCTGAAATTCTGTCCTCACATTGGATCATTCTGCTGTGTAGGCTTTCAATAGTTTTTAATCTCCTGGAAATCTGTTTGTATCTGTTTTAAGGATTCCATTTGTTTCCTATGTTGGGATTCCATCATGTTCCTCAGCTCCTCTCTAGATTTATTGATCATATCTTGCACTATGAGCAAAATCTATGCTGTTATCTGAGAAATTATTTCTGCTTCATTTTTCCCAGATTCTCTTTTGTTGCCAATTCAGGGATTCCAGGTGGTTGAGTATTAGAGTGTTCTATCTTGTTTGCCGTCGGCATTGCTGAAGGTGATCTGAAAATCTGGTTTTGAGACTTGTTTTCATATCTTCTCATTTTGATGGGGGTGGGGGGATGTGTGTGTGTGTGCTGCTGGTGCCTGTGTGGCTCACCTCTTCTGTGCTTGGAGGGTTGGGGTACAGTGGGCCGGAAGCCTCCTCTGTGCTGGGAGCGATGGTACAGCAGCCTCGAATCCTCCTCTGCTCTGGGAGCGGTGCTACCATGGCCCGGAAGCCTCTTCTGCACTGGGAGAAGTGCTACGGTGTGCCCCAGAAATTTGAAGGCTTTGTGTTTTGGCATCTGGTGTTAGGGAAAGTGCCATGCCATTCCTGAGCATTTTACTCACTTCTCTATACATAAAATGCAAAGATTGCAGCAGGTGTGATGGTGCATGCCTGTAATCTAGGCATTCAGGAAGCTGAGGCAGGAGGATTGCAAGTTTGAGGCCAGCTTGGGCTACAAAAATAAAAACAAAACAAAATAAACTAAAAATGTAAGGACAGGAGCAGGAGTTAGGGGAACTCCGTGGTAGAGGACTTGCCTAGCATGCATGAGACTCTAGGTGCAAGAGGCCTAGCATGCATGAGGCCCCTGCAAAAGGTAAATAAAAAAGGTAAATAAAATGCAGGATATTCTGTCTGGGATTTTCAGTGTTACAAGAATGTGTTCTAGTGCAGATCATCTTTAATCCTCCATTTTCCTGGCACTGGGTGCTTCTTTCATCTGAAAACTTATGTCCTTATTTTTTGAAAATATTTCTATGTCATCTGTTGGATCATTTATTTCACTCAATTTTTATTCTCTCTTTTCTGAAATTCCTTTTGGTCAGATGGTGCATATTTTGGAAGGAACAACCTCTAATTTTTTAATTTCCTATTTTGCATTCCACTGTCTTTTTGTTCTGCTTTCTGAGAAATTCCTAATCTTTATCTTCCGGCCCATCTATTGAACTTTTAATTTTGGTCATAAGGTATCCAGTTTCTGCACCCTCTTTCTTGGTCTTGGAATACTCCTGGTTGCAGCATCCTGCCTGTATCTTCTAGATGCAATGGTTTCCATCTCTCTGATGATATTCCCTAGAGTTATTCAACTTCCTTTTGCCCCCTATATGGTCTCTTTCCTCTAAGTTCCTTTTCTCTGATTGTTTTGTTCCTAGTCTTTTATATAATCAGATGCCAGTGACCTTGAACATGACATGTCTGTTCATGTTTAAGAATGAGTCACTTTACAGCTGTCCAAAGTCTCTTTGTTGGATGAGACTTATCTCTCAAGGGAGTGGGGTGGAAATGGCCATTGTGTTGGGGGCCCCAAGCATTATTATCTCTAAGCCCTTTGTCTGGGGTTATTCAGTTCCTCCAGAAAAGGACTCTTTACTCCCTGCCTGGGGCTGTGAGTAGGGGCCAGAGTTGATGTAGAAACCCAGCTGCTAGAGGTCTGAAAATAGACAGGCCCAGGGGCCAGGCTTTTGCCATCTGGTGTATGGACAGGAATATCCATTAGAAATAGATGTGATTGTTTCTTTTATCCTCAAATGTCAGCCTTTATGATTCTTCCCCATAAAACAGATTAATCTTATTTATTTCTTTAGCCACTGGCTACATGTGGCCCCTGAACTCTAGAAATGTGGTCAGTTCAGTGGAGATGTGCTGTGAGTATGAAATACACATGCAATATTGAAAACAGTATGGAAAAAGCTGTGAGATCTCATTAATAATTTTGTAATACTTATTACTATTGAAATAATATTTTGCATACATTGGGTTAAATAAAACACATCATTAAAATTTTTGTAAAAAGAAAGACATAGAATGAGAGTCACATATAAAACTTTTAAGGCCATGCACAGTGCTATGTGCCTCTTTCCTCGATACTTGAAAGTCTGAGGCAGGAGGATTGCTTGAGCCTGAGAGTTTATGTCCAGCCTGAGAAACATAATGAGACTCTTACTCTTAAAAAAAGAAAACAAAATTGGTATAGCTCAACATTTGCTTAACATGTATGAGACCTGTGTTCAAAGCCAGCACTGCAAATAATAATAACAATAAAAATAACTAATAATAATTTTAAATTTTTCTAGCAGCCACAGCAAACATATTAGAAAAGAAACAGATAGAAATAATATTCTTGGGGCCGGGGATTTAGCTCAGTGGTTTCGCCGCCTGCTGCGCAAGCACAAGGACCCAAGTTCGATCCCCGGTACCAAAAAAAAAAAAGAAAGAAAGAAATAATATTCTCTAACTCAGTGTAACTGACAGGCCCCCAAGTCTGACCCCCATCCAAGCAGACTCGCTACCCACATCCACAGGAGCATAGAAATAAGAGGGAGCCAGCAGCCATCCTGCTGCCCTCACCATCATCCTGTTTATCAGCCAGCCCCAGGCCCATCACCGATGGGACTCTTTAGTTTTCCACCTCTCGACCAGTGCCCCCTCCCATACCTAAACTCCTCCATATCAACCTCGCACACCCCCATGTCAGTGCCAAAGACCTTTTCTCCCTTGGCCCATCTGCACTCAGACAGCAATAAACTCATTTCATGTTGCTTGAACTTTGCCTGCCTCAGTGGTCTCAATCATGCCTCAGTCTGACCTTACAGTAACCAAAATAGTATCATTTCGGATGTCCTCAATATAAAAATTCTTAGTGATGTATTTTACATTGATTTATTGGTACTAGGTACATCTCACCTCTAGGACCGGCTGCATAAGTGCTCAGTAGCTACAGGTGGCTGATGCTTGCATATTGCACAGTGCAGGTGGAAATGGCAGTGTCACTCATGTGTTCAGTGAGCTCTGCTCCTGGCCTTTGCTAGGCCAAAGTCCCGGTTCTCTGGCTCAGTTTCTCTCTGGTGGACATACACAGCTGACTCTTTGTTCTCCTGAGAGTAGTGTCGGCCCCCTGCAGTGGTCATCTGTTTCTCATCCATATTTCCAAACCACCTGCTCTCCAGCCCCACCCTGTGTCTTGCCTCCTAGGGTCCTTGTGCCTGGGCCCCAGAGCACCCCTAGGACTTTCCCAGAGCACTGCCCCATGCAACACTTATATTTCAGTTTTCTGTGCTCTGCAACATTAACATTGATTGCCACTCTTCTGCCAGGTTTGCATGTTCTTAAATGTGTTGACATTTCTTGTCCACTTCTGCCTTCCTTCCCAGTCTTTGTGCTTATGGGCTTCTCTGATTTCTTCTTCCTCTTCTCCTTTTCCTTCTCCTTTTTCTTTCCTTCCTTCTCCTCTCCCTCTCTTTCCTCTCCTTCCCTACTCCCTTCTCCTCTCCTCTTCTTCCAGAGCTGAGACTCGAACTCAGGGCCTCAAGTATGCTAGGAAGCACTCTGCTAACTGAGCTACATCTACTGCCCCAGTTTCTCTTTCTTTACTATATGATTTTGGAGGGATTTCACCATTTCAAGGGGAAATAGAAATATATAAGTTCAATTTTCCATGTTTAATCAGAAGTCAAGAAATGTTTTTTTATCATTTAAAAAATTTTATCAGTACATGCTTGCAGTACATGCACTTTACAATCATCTTGTGGAGTTGGTACATGTACATAATACAGCTTCTTTCTCTTTTTAACCTCTTTCCTCCCCCTCCCTCCCTCCTCCTTTAGTTTTCCTTTCCCCCTTTTCATTCTTAGTATTATTAACCGTACTTCATGTTTATAGCTTATAATGTCCACATTCATTGTGGTAATTAAGACCTTGCACGTGGCATATCTTCACTTACCTATTTCCCCATTCCTCACCCTCAACCTTCCCCCTTGGTCCCCTGGACCCCTTCCTATCTGCAAGAGATCCATTATGGAAATTTCTCAAAGACCTGAATTTAGACATTTCATCTGAGCCAGCTATCCCCCTTCTAGGTATCTTCCCCAAAGAGTTTAAACCATCATACTACAGTGATATATGCATACCAATGTTTATTATAGCACAGTTCATAATAGAAAAATCCTGGAAACAGCCTGTATGTCCATCAACAGATGACTGGATAAAGAGAATGTGATATCTATATACAATGGAATACTACTTGGCTATAAAGAAGGACAAATTTGAGACATTTGTAGGAAAATGGATGCACCTGGAAAATATAATGTGTTTGTATTTTATCGTTTAAATTCATGAGCATTTTCTCTTCTCCAAACCAAAATGTTCTTTTGCATCAATATGACAGTGATGATTTTCATTACTAGATAGCCAAGCTTTTTACAAACCAATAATTTAATAAAATTGATGCTTTGTCCATGACCTGAATCCCTGTTGCCCCACCCACACACTCTGGCAGCCATACCCTAGTTCAAAACAGGGAGTCCCCCATTTACTTCCATGAGCTCCATGTATGTGCTTTGGTCTCCAGTCCCTTCTCTTCTCTACAGAGGTCCCCTAGAGCCTGGGCCAAGTTTCCCTGAGATCTTTAACCCCAGATGGACTTTAGGCTCCTTCTGATCCTGCTTCCACTCCCCTGGCACCCTCAGACTTCTTAAAGCATGGGGCTACATTTGGACACAGGATGGCAAAGTGGTTTCCATGGAAACCAAACCTTGGCACTTGCTCAGTACCTAGGTAACTAATTGTTCTGCTCCTCATATGTTGAAGACTGAGTCCTCCTTCCTCCCCTTCCTTTTGTTTCTAATCCTCAGGTTCTCCAGCCATTTTTGTGACTTTGTGGGCTATCACCAGGCATTTTCTGGAAGATGTTGGGTAAGCTGTCAGAAGGAGAGGTAACAGAAATGCATAGTCGGTCTCCATATCTGTGGGTTCTGCATCCACAAATTCAAACAAGAGTTGAAAATATTTTTTAAAAAATTGGTCTGTACTGAACAAGTATAGATGTCTTTCCTTGTCATTATTCTCTATCCCAAACCATATAACTGTATCATGAACATAGCCTTTATTTTGTATGGGGTATTCTAAGTGATCTAGAAATCATCTAAAGTATACAGGAAGATGTGTTTAGGCTATGATCACGTACTATGGCATTTGTACATGGACTTGAGCATCTGTAGATTTGATACCTACAGAGGGTTGTGAAGCCCATTTCTCATAAATACCAATACATAATTGTATTTGACATCATCCAGTTCTTCAAATAGCATACATACTTCTTTGGAGCTAACCAGAAAAAGCCAGTTTCTCATGTTAGAGGCCACAGGTGAGTAGCTCACCTGGAACAACTGCCACTGCTCCCCACCTGTGAGTTTCCAGGTGGGCCATGCCTGCAGGGACAGGTCTGTGCATAGGTCAGGTGCCAGACTGGAGCTGCAGACCCCCAGGCAGGTGCTGCTCAGTGGAGAAAGTCCAAGAAAGGGCCAGGTGTTCCTAACCTCTGGAACATCCCTCCCGGACGGTTCCTACTCCTGTGGTTTACAGACCCCAAAGAGCTATAGCAGCATTCTCAGCTCCTGGGTGTGTGCCATCACTACCATGATGGTGACAAAGTAGGCCCCTGGTCCTGTTCTCTGAAGGAATGAGGAAGGCATGGTAAGCTCCAGCCAGATTTTGAGGAGGCATGGAGAAGAGAGCATGAGATAGGCCCAGAAAGTGAGGCAGCACCATGGGAGGGAGCCTGTTTCTCAAGGGCCTAGTGACACAGCCAGGCCAATAAGTGGACTAGGCTGGGTGAGGTTTCTGCATCTTTTCATCCAAATTTGGCCCAAAATAATATTTTAAATGAGTAAGTTGCCTACCTGCCTGCTTGCTTTCATTCCTTCCCCCCTCCCTCCTTCCCTTCCTTCCTTCCTTTTTTTTTTTTTCCTGTGGTTTCAGGAATTGAACCCAGGGCCCTTGCACTAAGCTACACCCCAGCCCTTTTATAATTTATTATTTTTAGACAGGGTCACTCTAAGTTGCTAAATTGTCCAAGCCAGGCTCAAACTTGGGACCCTGCTGAGCCTCTCAGAGTGCTGGGATTACAGGTGTGTGCCACCACATCTGGCTTAGATTTTTTTTTGAGACAGGGTCTTGCTATGTAGTTCAGGCTGTCCTTAAACTCACTATGTAGCCCAGGCTGGCCTCGAATTCACAGTGATCCTCCTCCCTCAGCCTCCCAGGCACTGGGATTATAGCTGTGCATCACCACACCCAGCTGGTTTAGATTTTTAAAAATCCAGAGCTTCAGCCTCTCCAAAAATTGTAAAGCTTTGTTAGTATTTCTCATTTCCCCTCATGGCAGAAATCATTTGGAGTGGAGCTATGAATGCCTTGGACCAAGCACATGCTCTTATTGGCCAAGTACCCCCATGCCTGAGGTCCCTGGGTCCTAATCTCATGCCAGTCATCCAAGTGCTCACACACAGATATTATCTACCTGGCTTCTTAGCATCTTGAGATTGCCACCGTGCACCCCAGTAAATTCTGACATATCTTTAAGACCCAAGGTCCCCATCTCTCAGGTCCCCACGGGAGAGGGGCAGGTCCTAACAGTGCTGGGTACACAGCTGTGGGGGCTCAGAGCCACAGACGTGGGTCCTAATACCAAAGGATGCCTCAGGGAAGTGTCTGCCAGTCAGTCTGGTTTTCTGCTCCTAACAACTCCTGGTCATCCCTCCCTCCTGTAGGTGCTGGGACATCAACACCAATGCTTCCATTTGGTGGGTCATTCGAGGGCCTGTGATCCTCTCCATCCTGGTGAGTGGCTGACCTCCCCTGAGGCAGAGGCTAGTGGGACAGATGGAAAGAGTGACCAGCTGGCAGGAGTAGGGGACCTGGAGGCTGAGATCCCTCCAGGTGCCAAGTGTTTCTTAAGAAACAGCACTCCATTAGGAGTCCTAGACTGCCCCTAATCATATGTCTTTCAACAAGTGTTTCCCAGCCCTAGGCTACTTCTGAGAACAATGAGGGTGACCCAAGGATTTCTCCACTCTCCAGGTGCTGGGGGAAGAGGGGGACTGCTACCATGTGAGAAAATTCTTAACCTCCCAGGCCAGGCACTGAGATGAGGCAAGAGGCTCCAAAAGAAAGAAATGGACTCCATTCCTGACCTTCAGGAAGCTATGGTTTAGTTGGCAGAAAGCATATAGATACTTTTAGATAGATGCAAGGATTTGGCCCTTTTATCCACTTGGGGCTTTGTGGCTGCTAGGCAAATGCTCTACCACTGAGCTATCTATCCCCAGTCTCTTTTAAAATATTTTAAGTGCTCTTATACAGCAACATACCGCTAAATACAGTGGATCAAAGTATGATCCTTGGACCTTCAGCTTCACCTAGGAGGTTGTGCACATTCAAGCCAGACATGGTGCTGCATGTCGGTAATATCAGTACTCTTGGAGACTGAGGCAGAAGAATTCCAAGTTTGAGCCTAGCATGATCAATTTAGTGGGACGCTGTTTCAAGATAAAAACTAAAAGAAGGGATAGGGATAAAGCTCAGTGCAAAGACCCCTCTGTTCAATCTCCAGTCCTCTCCACCCCAAATAACAAAAGGTAAAAAGGAACAAAGGAAAAGAAAGTTCTAAGTTTAATTTCCACCTGGGCAACTTAGTGAGACACTGTTTCAAAATACAAAATAGAAAACTGGCTGGGGATGTAGCTCAGTGGTACAGCACCCCTGGATTCAATCCCCAGTGCCCCCCTCACACATGCACATGCACATGCACATACACACACAAATTCTTGGGCCCCACATCAGATTTACTGAACCATAACCTGTGGGGTGGAACCTAGGAGTCTGTACCCTAAACCTTGTGAGTGCTGCTGTATAGCCTGTCAGCTTGGACTTATCTGGGGATTATTAGAATTGCCAACTCTCAGCCCAGCCAGACCCATAGTTTTCAAGATCCATGAGGATTCCGAAACACTGCAAGTGTGACTAACCTGCCCGGCGCTTGAGCAGACCATATAGTTCCTGCAGCCTATGGGCAGAGGTGCTGCTTCATCCAGAGAGTTTATTTCACCAGGATGCTGGGCACAGGGCTGGGCAGCAGTGATGTACCATCCTGGCTGCAATGGGACCGTCAGCCCTGCCTCTGCCTTGTGTTTTACAGATCAATTTCATCTTTTTTATAAACATTCTAAGAATCCTGATGAGAAAACTTAGAGCCCAAGAAACAGGAAATGAAATGAACCATTACAAGTAAGTGGAAGGCAAAAGCCCAGGCACAATGTCAGCCAACAAACATTTGTTGAGCACCTACCATTTACTCAACTGGTGTTAGCCCAAAAGAAAGAAAAGCTATGGACCTAGTCTCAAGAAGTTTACAGTGTAAATGGCAGGGGTAGGAGAATGGGTCTGATTATGAGACCTCAGACACTACTGGGTGGGAAAATTCAGAAATCTCAAGCAAGAGGCCTGAAAGTATAGATATGATCCTTGAGGCAAGGCTAGGGAGTCTGCATGGGCTTTGGGGATCCCAATTCAGTCAGATTTATTTAGAAATGTGTATTATCCAGGAGGAAATCACTAGCTTTCATCAGATTTTTCAAGATGTGTGACTCAAAAATATTTAAAATCATAAGATGTTGAGGGGAGAGCGTCAGTCTGAAAGGATTCCTCTAATCAAACAACACAGAACAAAAGATGGGGGGGAGCTTAAACAACAGGACATTGTTTTCTCATGGTTCTGGGGGCTGCAAATCCACAATCAAGGTTCTCTTTCTTCTGAGGTCTTTCCCTCGGCTTGTGGATGGCTTCTTACTGTGCCCTCATGTGGTCTTTCCTCTGTGCACACACATCCCCCATGTCTGTATGCCTCAGTTTCCCCCTCTCATAAGGACATCAGCTGATGTTGTCAAAGTCAGCTGAGAGTTCTTTTGCTTAGCTGAGAAGGAAATCGTGAATCACCCAAGTGGGGCTTGATTACTAGCTCTGGGCTCTGAGAGCCAGTAGCCCTTGGCCCTTAGAGTTACGGCTCTTGGCAGCTCCCTGCCACTGCTATCAGCTCCTCTGCAGCCAGGGCCACAGCTCCTTTGCCGGCTTTCTGGCTTCCACTTGTCACCAAATGCCATCAGTCAAGGCGAGTTGTCACCAGTAGACACTGCCAGCCTGCTGCCTTCCACCACTGATCTTTGTTGATTGTTGCTTGTCTCTGCTGCTGGACTCTGGAACTCTTCATGGATAGTAGCCTCTCGTGTTACCGACTCTTAATGCAAACTGCTCTGCCCACACTACCTGAGACAAGAGCGACAAGCAGATTTACAGGAGCACCTGAACAGGCTTTATTAGGACCTATTATGCTACAGCACAGGGGATCATGCATAGGAGGGAGCTCTCCTCCACTGGCCTAAGGAGTATGAGGGGGCACTGCTTATACAGAGAAGCAGTGGACCCACATGTGTGCAGATCTGTACATTTCACAGACCAGCCCGAGAACTTTCAAAGTAAGGACAGAGGTGGTTACAGGGTAGAGTCATCGGGAGAAGGCCACAGAAGTTTGATAGCTACCACATCTCTGCGAAAATAGGGGCTGAAACTGTGACTGCTCCCACTTTGGAGGAGTCTTTAGGAGGGCTGGCCATGTTGATCACAAACTCTTGGGCTTTGGGAGTATCAGGCAGGTGACAGCAGTGCCTGGAATGGCAGGAGCAGGGTGGCTCCTATCATCACAGCCTGCAGCCTCAGAATTAACTCCAGGGGTGTTGGGATGGCCCTGGGCTAGTGGCCAGAGGCTACCCATGCAGAAGCAAGGGCAGTGAGGAGGACGGCATGACAGCTGCCGGTCAGACAGCTGCCCTCCTGTCTGTCATAGGAAAAGGAAAGTGTCAGGGGTTATATTCTTTTGTATCTCAGTTGGATTAGAGTCCAATCTAAAGGCCTCATTTTAACTGAATCACTCTTTAAAGACCCTTTCTCCAGGGCCGGGGATGTAGCTCAGTGGTTGCCGCGCAAGCGCAAGGTTCCGAGTTTGATCCCCGGTACCAAAAAAAAAAAAAAAAAGACCCTTTCTCCAAATAAGTCACACTCCAGGTACTAGGGGCTAGGATGTCAACATGTGAATTGGGGTGGGAACCCGGTTCTGCCTATAATAGATGCTGAAGACAAATTAGTGTCTGACAGAGACTTTCTCCATGATGTCTTGTTTTGGGGATGTGATAGTGGCCAGGATTACTTGTGTCAGATTCCCCATGACATCGCTGACCAGAAGGCCGCACAATTTGGTGGAGCTGGGATGTGGAACAAAGTTGCCAGACCAAAAACAAGATGCCAAGTTACATCTGAAATTTGAGTAAACAGTAAGTTTTAGGATTCATGCCCCCTAAAAGTATACAAGTTGTATCTGAAATTCAGATCAAACTGGGCATTTTGTATTTTTAGTTGCTAATTTGGCAACTCAAGTCTGTGAAGAAAATATAAGAACTTTTCCTCATAGATATATATTATTTTTTAAATAACAAAATTGGCTTTGTTCATCATGTATTAGTCACAGAGTAGTAGTTACAGGCATATAATTAAAAGTTATTTGAGTATTTATGTAGATATTAATGAATACTACTGATCAGAAAGATTTAGGATTGGTCACAAGTTGGTTAGTATTATGTCTGAGTGATCACTACATGGAAGGTTAGGAATTTTCCAAAATAAAATTAGAACAGGATGGGGGGCGGGGGCGGAGGTGGAGTGCTGGCCAAATAATGCCCTCTGATCTCCGACACTACAAAAATATGAAGCTCAGAAAAACAAAAACTGTAAACAAAAAAAATGTGGGGACATTATTTCCAAGCCTCAAGTGATCAGCCACTAGATGAAAGGGCGGGCTGCAGGGAGGGAAAACAGGAGTGTCCGTGTGTCTTTTTGTCCCCAGGCGCCTGGCCAAGTCCACCCTTCTGTTGATCCCCCTCTTTGGGGTCCACTACATCGTCTTTGCCTTCTCGCCTGAGAATGCTATGGAGGTCCAGCTGTTTTTCGAACTGGCCCTTGGCTCATTCCAGGTAAGCTTTGGGGACTATGTGGCTAAAAGGAGTAGTTCTCTGTTTCCTTAGAAGAGGAGGCCACAGAGGCAGCAAGCCAGAGCTTCCTGAGGTTTAGGCATGGCTTGGGTAAGGGACACCTCATTTGGAAGACCCAAGGGATGCAGGGGTGGGGAGGACCTGCCTGTGCTGTGTGATCCAGAGTGGGATACACAGTCCCTAATAGTCAAATGGAGATAAAACTAAAAGAGCCTGACTCCAGGGAAAACACAAAGGCAAAGCCACCCTGGCACACTGTCGCACAACTCTCTGTAGCATACACAGGGCCCCAGTACATAAACAACCAAGGCTGAGCCATCAAAAAGGGAGGAGGAAGATGAGCCCTGCAGGCAAGTGTTTGAAAGACTTCCCGTCTTTGGATTGGGAAGTCCAGAGAAAATGTCCAAGCTGAAAAACCCACAAGTAGCAGCATCAGCGTATTATTTAGAATCAGTTAAGAGAGTTCAAGCAGTTGTCTCTGAGGAACAGGAAATAGGGGCGGGGGTGTCAGGAGGCTGCTGGGTTTTAAAAACAAGAATCATTTGGCTTTTTAAAACCATGAGCATGTGGAATTTATTAAAAATAAAAACTGTCTTTAAAAAAAGGAGGTGGACAATCACCTACCTCCTAATGCAAAAAGATATTCTGATGTTAAAAACAAACAAAATGAAATATGTTTAACTAGCGCAGAGTCTTAATTTGAATCCCAAACATCATGATGTTACTTGCCTACTTACTCATAGCTATTTCCTTCCAACAGTCCTTAGGAGATGTCACTTTCAGGAAAAACATATAAAGGATATGCCCCCCAAAAGTAGATGAAGGATCAGTGAAAAAAGAATATAAAGCTAGTTGAGTTCCTTCACAGAAACAAATTTGGTAAAGTCCTATAAAGGCTGGGGAGATGGGTCACCAGTAAGTTTTGAAGCTTCCTGTAGCCCACAACAAAGACAGGAACAATCTATTTCGAGTTTTACATGGGCTGGGAATATAGCTTAGTCAGTGGTACAGAGCTTGTCTAACATGCACAGGCCCTAGCTTCCATCCCTGGCACTGCAAAAGAATAAAAAGGGGAGGGAATCAAGCCCATTGCCAAAGAAGCTCCATGATTATAGTTTTTAGGGTCTTGGAGAAGCTTCTCCCCGTGGGTTCTCCTGAAGGAGTTATCCTGACCTCAACAGCACCCCACAGTGGAGCAACACTGTCCAGCAGGGCCTTCTGCACAGAAAGCTTTGGCCTTAGGGTGGGACTCTAAGCACACCCCTCTCCCTGGGGTTCTGTGTAGATAGCACAGCCAGGACCTCTACCGCTCATAGGTTCCAGGAACATCCCATCCCTGAAACATACCATTGAGTGGACTCAGACCCCAAGGTGTCCCCTCTGCTCTCCTCTGAGCAGCTCCTTCGCCCACCAGTGCCCCGACCTCCTGAGAACCTGGTCTCTTGTGTGCATAACCCACAGTTCTTTTCCTCTTGCCCAGGGAGCTTTTTCAGCCATTGATTGTATGTGTAAGTTCAGGGAGGCTGGGTTTGCCATGACGCATTCAGCAGCTGGGGACTTTAAGATCCAGGTGGGTGTGAGGACTTGACCCCGCTCACACGAGTGAGTAGTGACCAGGTAGAGAGGTTGGAGACCCGCATCAGCTTCACCATGTGCATGGAACTTTTTGTGCTCCAGATTTAGGGTTTGTATTTGGAGCTATAGACTACTTAGGAGAAGACATTTGGCTTCTGTCTGGGAAACTTTCAAGAGAAAACCAAAAGCACTTTCTAAATGGTCCCATCGAAGTGCTTATGAAGGAAAAAGGATCATTAAAAGTTTTTATATGTTTATGTATACTATATATGTGCTTATGTTTATGAGCACACATATAAATAAAATACATATATATGTACATATATACATATATGAAAAGTTCTTCAATATATCCAAAAATAAAGGGAATAGAATGAACCCATGTGTAGCCATTCCTTGGCTTCAGCAACATGCACTGATGGTCTATCTCGTTTCATCTCTATCCCTGCCCACCACCCCCATTTTATTATGTAAATCCAAGACACTGTATTATTCCTTCTGTAAGAATTTTAGTGTGTGTTTCTGAATAAGGACTTAAAGAACATACACAGTCCTCAATCCCTTAACAGTCAAATACTTCTAAAAACTAAAATACACAAAATCTCTCTGATTGTATGAATAATACTTGCTTATTATAGATAATTTGGAAAATAAAGAAAAGTAAAAAAGAAAATTTTAAAAAGGGTTGGACTATCACTCAGTGGTAGAGCACTTGCTTAATATTTACAAGGCTCTAAGTTAGATTCCTCAGTACTAGAACAAAAAAAGAAAAGAATCATCTATAATCTCATAACCTGAAAACAACTTCTATTAAGGAAGACACACACACACACACACACACACACACACACACACACACACACGAACACATACATATAATTAGGATCATAATGTGTATAGCTTTGGGCCCTGTTTGCTTTCTCTATCATGCCTGTCATGAATATTTCTTCCTGTCATTAAAATTCTGCAAAAGTCTTCATTTTTTTTTTTTTTTTTTGGTACCAGGAATTGAACTCTGGTCCTTGCACTTGCAGGTCAGGAGGAGGAACCACTGAGCTAAATCCCCGGCCCAAGTCTTCATTTTTAATGATCACATGATAACTGCTAAATTTAGTAAACTTGGTGACTTATGTGAGGCCTGCTGCTATGTATGCTTGGGGCACAGCTAACTAAAATCTGTCCTTGGATCCTAGGATAGGGTGTTCTGGGCAAGCTGGGTCCAGCCTGACTGCCAGCTCTGGGCCAAGCACAAATAGCTTTAGTTCTGCCAAAACTTTCTCTGGCTCAGTTTCCTCACCTGGTAATTGTAGGTCATTTCTCCCCTCCCACCTTCTACCCAGGGCTTTAAGTGGAATATAGTGAAGGAACCCAGGGTGCCACAATGACTCAGGCCAAGCTATGCTACAGATCTAAAGCTATTAAGTGCCTTTTTTTCTAACAGTGGTTCCCAGAGGGTGAAGCCCACTCCAACGTTTTGGGGACCTTTAAAAGCTACTCATCTTCCCATCAGACCTTCAGGTGTGGGTTACAGAGCTCAAACTGGGGCCAAAGCTCCCCAGTGGGTCTAATGTGCAGCAAAATATAGAAACCACAGCCCCAAGTAAGCACTCCTACCCTACAGATAGTTGCCCTTCTATGCAGCAGTCACTGACACTGAAATTCTAATTTAAACTTTTCTAGTTTTGTGACTTATTAAAATGCCAGTACCCTGGTGTTAGGTCAGTGGTAGAGCATGTGCTTAGTATGGTGAGACGCTGGGTTCGATCCCTAGCGGGGGAAAGACTAATATCCTAGTAGTGGGGACAGAAGGGCTGGTGTTTTGTCTTTTGGGGTCCTTTTCAAAGCAGTAAATACCTAAGGGCAGACATGGGTGGGACTAGGGAAGAGGAAGGAGCCAGGCCACCCAAGGTTACAGCCATGTGCACAGGTGCCTACGGGGGACAGGGATCACCAGATAGGCAGCCTGCCAAGGAAGGGCAGGTGGAGGTAGGCCCCTGGGATGGAAGGATCTGGATAGGCACAGATCTTGCCAAGTCAGAGTACATCAAGCTCTGACCGTGGAGATGTACCCATCTGTCCCCAGGCAGGGAGACCAAGCTGCTAGCTGGTCTGAGCCTGGACATGGTTTGTTCTGACCATACATTTGTTCTTCAGTATGAATGAACTGTCCATGTTTCAGTGTTTCCAGATTTCTAGCTTATCTTCAAAATGAGACCACACAGGGCACAGGGTCTCCTACTAGGCTGGCTCTGGCCCTTCATGGGAGGGTGGGAACATGCTTCAGGTGCTGCCAGTCCTGCTGCTCCCAGGTAGCCCAACTTATTATTGAAAGTCACTGCCTGCTACCCCTTCCTTACTGACACTAACTCCACATGTTTGAGCCCCTGGTAGGCATTGAGAACAACAAATGAAAGGGACTCACAGTGCACACTTCATGGCACAGGCACAACCAGGGCACTGTGGGGCTCCTGAGGAGGTAATTCCCTAAGGTGAGAGAGGTGGTGAGCAGGGGACTTGGGCAGGAGAGGTTATAGGGGTAAGCCCCATGTCCAGCTGCTCAACATGGACAGTGAGCCTGCACTAACACCCACTCCTCTGGCAGGGGCTGGTGGTGGCCGTCCTCTACTGCTTCCTCAACGGGGAGGTAAGTGTCCTGGGATGCCAGTGCGCTCCAGTGCGGAGCTGCTGGAGAGGGTTGGGGAGGGGGAGTCAAGGGTGGGAGAGCAGGCTGGCCTCAGGGCATGGCCTGACCAGTCTCCCAAGAGTCTGGGGCTCAGTAGGAACAGCAGGTTCATCCGGAGGGTGTGTTAACACTTGCCTGGCTCTGTCCCCAGTTCTGATTTAGTAAAAATGGATTATGTAGGTCTGGGCAGGGGCGGGACTAAATGTTTCAACAAACACACCTGGTGATTCTGATCTGTGGGTAAGTCCAAGAAACACAGGATAAAGGTGCAGCCCCCTCAAGCAGAACCCAGGTTCCTGATCATTCTGCTGCTTGCTGGGTGGGTAATCGGGGTCACTGCCCTCCCTGTCCTCAGTCTTCCCATAAGTGCAATGGGTGACTCAAAAATGTCTGTGGCTCTATCCTCCAAATGAGTGCTGACTCCATGGGGGCCTGTGCAGCTGTGTGGATGACTCTGGTCATGCACAGAGCATCTGGATCAGGATGCCAGCCTGCAGACTCACGGAGGCTGGATCTCCAGCACTGGTTGCATATGGTGTTACCCAGCAAAGCCTCTCTGGAGGTGTTGCCCCTCTAACTGGTTCACCACACTCGAAGGGGAGTGACCTCTGATGTTTTCCAAAAATCAGGCATCAAGCCTGGCCTCAGAAGTATAGTTGCCCCTTTGAGGTAAGGATGGTAAAGATGTCCATGGAGCAACACCATGGCTCTTGGATGGGTTCTGAGCTAGGCTGGCTGTGTAAGAATGACAGTCTAGTTATCTCAGGGTAGATCTGGATGTGAATTCTGCAGCTGGGGGGATAAACCACAAGCCCTTTCCTGGGGACACCATGTAATGGGATGGCAGGTGCAAGTGCCTTGGGGATAAGGGGGTGGAATGGTCAGGTGGAGTGGCCTATGGGTGAGGGTGGGGACAGCAGGACCAGCTGGGTAGGAGTGGCGGGACATGCACGGGGGCTCAGGGTGTGTGAGGCAAGTTCCAGGCACTGGCTGACCCTCCCTTCCCAGCTGATGGGGTGTCTCTGGCAGGTGCAGCTGGAAATTCAGAAGAAGTGGCGACAATGGCACCTCCAGGAGTTCCCACTGCACCCCATGGTCCTCAACTCCTCCTTCAGCAATGGCACCAGTGACCCCACCCATGGCACCAAGGCCACCAGCAAAGCCTGCCCTTCCGAGCAGAGCCGGGGCACCTGCAGGGACAGCATCATCTGAGAGGCTGGAGCAGAGCTGCCTATGGACAGAGGCCGAGCCAGGTCCTGAGAGGGCAGGACACTGCTGCAGAACCTGGAAGACATCCTGTGCTCCCTGCTGTAGCTGATAACGCCCCTCCCTCAGGCCTCGGAGTCCTCAGGCCTGAGCAGAAGGGACTTGGAGAACCGTGGGACAGGACCAGGGCCCGGGACTCGGTCTGTGTTGGTTTTCTGGGAAGAGCAGCTCGGGGCCCAAGAAGGGACAGGGAAATAAATGATACCCAGGAAGAGATTTGGTGTGCATTTGTCAGGCTTTCACCCTGAAACTCAAGGGGAGGGAGTATGCTGTGCCTCACTGCCTGGTCCTTTCCTGCAGGGAAAAGGGGCTTCCTTGGATCCCAGCTCATTTTCAAGGACAAGCTTAGATGCTCAGAAAACACAAGAAGTCCCCCACTGCAACTCACTTGTCTCTCCACAGCATTCAGGACAACAGCTAAATGAATCTGATAAAGTCAAAAGGGAGACCGAGGACCCCTAGCTCTTTTAGTCTCCTTGACATGGTGGGAGATACATGGGGTGGACGTGGCAGGGGGTGGTACAGCAGGAAGTGCAGCCTAATCCCACTTGAGAGATAGGAAACTGACTTACCAAGGCACCGTGACATGTCCAATCTACTCAGCAAGAACGTGGCTGTTCATCTAGGGCCTTTTACTTCAAATGCATGTGCTCCAAGGCTGGGTCTGAGGTTTCCCCACTCCCAGGCAGGAGTGGACCAGGGCCTGTCTCCCTGCCCCACTAAGCTCCTGGGAACTCTGGTCTCAGCCTTCACTCTGGCTCTTAGTCCTCTTGAATATCTGCCGTCCCTGCCCCCATGTGAGGGTGTAAGATAAATCTTTTTACAAAATAAAACCTAGTAGTGCTGCACTCAGCAACACAGACGGTGCAGTACAGAGCAAAAAGCGTCTGGCCTGGGAGTAGGAAGCTCAGCTCTATTCCCGTCTTTTCCTGACAAAATGGTCGTCCTGTTGCACTTTACAGACTGCTATGGATTCCCACTTCCCAGCTGAGGTCCAGCCTGTGTGGGTGATAAGCTCTGCTCTCTGCAAATCCAAGCAGCCCACAGAAACTCTCAAGTGGGGCTGGGATGAGGCTCAAGGGTACCGCATGCTTTGCTGTACCAGTGGATCCCCAGCACCATCAGGGACAACAACAGCCACCAACATCTCGGGTGATCACCATGGACTCCCTGCATCCTGGTTCAACCTTGCATTCATAGCCTTGTGACTCTGCATCTTGGAATAAAGTTTTAAAAATCACCATAGAGGGGGTGGGGCCTTAAGGTGACACATACATGTACTTGAGGAGGCTGAGATGAGAGGGTCACTTATGCCCAGGGAGACTGCGTCTCAAAAACAAAAAAAAAGAATCACCATAGAAATGGTAGGTATAAATGACCAGGACAGGAAAGGACCTGCAATGACAAGGGTAGGGCAGAGACCGAAGTCCTATGTACTCAGTGGAAGCCAGAATTTACCAACGGGGGTGGTTAGCGTAAAATGGTCAAAATCTTCACCTTTTCTAGGCAGAGAAAGGACTGGAAAGGAGAGAAGGTGATGAAAATGAAGATCTACCCACAAGGATGGAAATCTCCACTGGTTCTTAACCCCCTTAGTCTCCACTCATCCCCAGGATAGTTGTTAATCATTATCCAGGGGCTGGCTGCTCCCTGCACCCGCTGTGGAGTCCAACAGGTCCAACTATGTGCTTTTTAAAGTGGTTCTAGGGATCAAAAATGGTACAGAGGTCATCTGACCCTTACAAAAGCTGCACGTGAAAACATGAAAGCCGAAAGCCGGCACTCGTACACACTGGCCTCAGGGAGGACTGTGTTGGAAGTCAGCTGGGTGCCCCTGGGAGGGCTTGCTTAAGGAAACACTCTGACAGGCAGAGCCCCAACAGACAGCCAGCTTTGAGAAGCTGGGTTATCTGGGGTTTGTGAAATCCCCAAAAAGAGCAGGGAAGAAATCAAGTTAAATGGTTTGAAGACCTATTATGTGCATAACATTCTAAAGGTTTTCTGCAAGAGAAGGAAGGAAGTGTATACAAAGACCCTTTGAGTTAGTGGAAGAAAATTCTAGGTACTGACTGGTCCCTCAACTTAGAAGAACAATCCAGATCCAGTCTTGGAAACTTCAGAAGCCCAAGGACCCCCTGCACACAGTTAATAAAATAAGTGTGAACAATGTTTGTCTTGGCAGCCAGCCTGTGGACCAGTTACAGATACTTCCACATCGATCCCAGTCTAGGGAAGAAATTCAAGAAAAGTGTTTTAATACTTTTTTCTTTTGAAATCAACACCCTGATAGCTTGGCCAAACCTGTGCAGCTGGTGGTACTGAGGCACACTCCTAGCCTCTGGCCCTTGCAACCAGCTGCAGAGGGCCCTGGGCCATTTCTGGCAGACAACTCTGAGCTTAGGGGCTAAAAGGCAGCAGCTTCAAGGTCATGGTAACACTCCATCTGCACCAGAGGTCACATGTTGGAAAATTCTCATCTGGATCACATTTTCTTGTAGAAACAGAGGTCTCCAGAGAGGGCCCTAGGGTTTTCTTAGCTGGTTCCAGGGCTGGGTAATGCTGTTGATGTGAAGGCCACTGATAGCATTCAGGAAGAAGAGGAAAGAGGCTGTAAATTCACACCAAAACATCAACGTAATGCCGATGAGCGTGACCTGATTCCTGAGGAGGATCACAAAACTCAAGAGTCCTGCTGAGGACAGGATGAAGGAGACCAGGAGGAGGCAGGAACCAATGGCCCACTTGCGCCGAGAGTAGATGTTGTCACACACCTGGGACACCATGAGAAGCTCCAGGCCAAAGATGGCAGCCACAACAGCCATGGCACCCACACTGCGGGACAGGCCCACACCCACAGCCAGCCCAGGCACATGGGCCTGGCTCAGGTCTCGGAGGCAGTGTGGCCTACTCTGGTTGGTGATGGTGCAGAAGTGCCATAGCCCAAAGAGACGGTCCTCATCCAGGAGCCAATGGCCATCACAGATGGAGATGGAAGAGAGGACCACAGCTAGGGCGGTACACACAATGATGAGGGTCCGGATGAAGGACTCAAAGAAGGACCGGTGGGGCTTCCTCTGGCCCGATGGCCTCTGGGCCTGAAAGACGCCAAAGGAAGCAGTGTCAGCGAGGACCCTGAGCCACACACTCCCCAACCTCCCTAAGGAAGACTCTAAACATGCCCCAGAGCCCTGTTCTTTGCTTGGATCTCACAGGAACCCTGGAACCCCCACCACATCTTAGCTTCCACAGCACAGACCCAGCCTCATTGAGGGCTTTCCTCTTTCTACCTTCCATCTAGACTTGTAAGCACTGGCTGTCAGAATCCAACCAGGCCCTGATTATTCCCTTACCATTCTTCCTTTTATGATCTCAACACTGGATGAAAATTCCAAATTGACCCACAAACCCTATGCAGCTCTTAATTTAAAAAAACCTGTCTTGCCTGGCTTGAGTGACCTCGGGCATGTAGCCTGCCTCAGCTTCTTTGTACACAAAATAAGAACACTGCCTAGCAGGACTACAGTGCTGTACGAAGCAGTGAGCCATTAGCATGTCCATACATAAGGTTAGGTTTTCTTGTTCAGTGCACATCTAGTTTTATCTTAACCCATACCCACTTGGTCTTGCATTTTCTGTATTTGGTCTAGGTCTCCATGTTATTATTTTGTTTTCTGAATCCTCAAAGTGATGCCTACAACTTGCCCTTCAGCCTCACTCAGCCTTACACCACCCAGAGCTGGCCAACAAGTGTCTTTTAGCAGCTTCTAGGTATGAAGAACCACCTGACTGGTCTCAGTATTGGAGGGGAGCATCTCCATCTCCTCGGTCTTTCAGTCTGAGAGTTCCATGTGCAGTGTGGTGTCTCCTGTCTCACTGGCACAACTCCCAATCCCTGACCCACAAAGACAAAGAAAGAAATGCTACAAAGAGTAAAACTGCTTACCACAGCCACAAGCCCTACGAGACCCACCTGCTTCCCTCTCCAACTTCACTTCCTAGTATACTCTTCCTCCCACCATACTCAGACACCATGGCTGCCCTATTTCCATACCTAGAACTTTCTTCCTTCAGACCTCCTGACCCCTCTGCTCAATAGGCTCTTCTGCAGCAGCCCCACCTCTTAAGGACAACTCCTTTTCTCCATCTTTTGGGACTGTTTATTATTTTTCATGGTACTGGACTGAGCCGAGTACCTTCCCACTGAGTGACATTCCCAACTTTTTTAAAAAAAAAAATTGATGTTAAGACAGGGGTCTTGCTAAGTTGCTTAGTTGCCCATACTCAAACTTTTGATCCTCATGCCTTAGCTTCCCAGAGTGCAGGGATTACAGGTATGTACCATCAAGCAAAGTCACCTCCTTGCAGAGGCCCTTCACATCCATCCAACCTAGTGCAGTCGCTGCTGGCATTCTCTGCCAGGCACCCTGTCTGTTTTACCATTCTTATCTGTTTTGAAGTGACATCTTATCTGTCTCACTTGGACATATCCTCCAGAGGGAAAGGCCCTCATGTCCAGACACTGTGTGTCCCCGGTACCTGGCACAATGTTTGACCTGTGCATTCAGAACATGCTGGAGGAAGACCCATGGGTTAGTGAAGGGTCACTTCCATATGAAGCTCCCTTTAAACCATTTCTCCTGCCCTGTCATAAGTTAAATTACTTTTTATAGTGTGTATGGGAGCAGGTTACACCCTTGTTTTGGGAGGTAAGCAAAGTATATCGTCCACATGTGCAGTCACTGCGTGAAACCAGAAGAATGGAGAAAGGAGACCCTGACACTTCAGGGGCAAGTGTGGGCCACATCTCTCCATGCTAGATGCAAGACAGAGCCTGGCTCCTGGGAGACTCTTCAGTCAGCATCCTCGAAAAGCTGTCTATTAGGGTGTCCTGATACAGTGGTGCCTCAGTTCAACCAGGGATACAGGAATAA